TTATAATGTTAAGCTAATGCATATGTTTATTATTATTAGTTTCAATCTGCTCTTATTTATTATTAGTGGTTGCATTATTAGTGTTGCAAATATATTTTCTTGTTTAAATATTCAAAGCAGGCTAGACAGAAATAACTGATGTTATAAACACCACAGAATGAATGTGAGCTAAAATAGGGCATGAATATAGTTTCTAATAAAATCATATTCATTTATTGCAGACCAATAAATGATTTGGATTCTTGTTGATTACAAGACTTTCATCCAATTCTTAATCATCTGTTTGCCCAAAAGGTTTCTAAAGCTAAACAATAGCGTTTGTTATTTAGATATTTTAATATCAGTTTCATTTTCAATTCTGTTATATGTGAGTGTGCTTTTTTAAAAAATCCTCCCAACCCCTTCTATATATACCATAGAATTTCACAGTTTAATTAAACAAATTGCAAAGAAATAAACTACTTTATATATACTTGGTACAGTTTGGTCTCATAGACTTGAATATTTATGATTTTAAATCATAAATATTTAAGATGTTCCTGGACTAAACCCAAAGGTGCTTTTTCAAGAGGCAACTGGACTTTCTGGTTTTTCTTCAAAGATGTTTTGCTTCTCATCCAAGAATCTTCTTCAGCTCTAACCATGACCTGGATGACAGAGAATCTCCATAGACATTCCTGAACTAAAGTTTCCCACAATCTTAGACTACAGTCTCAATCCTATCCTCAATTATGTTTCCTATGTAAAGTGACAATTAGAAGGTTGTCTTTTTTTTTTTTTTTTTGTTCAATAAGATTTCATCATTCTAATTGAGCAATGAGCTAACCATTTATTGCTTCAAATATAACTGGAGAAAGTTCTTTTTAGTGTTTATGGCTCCCCTCCAGCTTCTCTTTTTCTTTAAGCTCTTCCTATGCAGAAGCATACATGCTTAGTGCTGGAAATGGCTATTTAGGGTCCATTAAACCTAAATCCTTACTCAGTGCAGTGGTCCAGGTTAAAGCATACACAACAAAATTCTATCTAGTCTCTTTTTGATGTGCTATAAAACCTTGTCCACTTAGCAGTTCGAAAGCATGCTAATGCAAGTAGATTAATACCATAGGTACCACTTTAGTGGGAAGGTAACAGTGTTCCATGTGACCTTGGCATATAGCCGTGCTGGCCACATGACCACAGAAAATGTCTTCAGACAATGCTGGATCCCTCGACCAAGAAATGAAGATGAGCATCACGCCCTAAAGTTGGACACAACTGAATGGGCAAACCTTTCCCTTTTATAAAATCATGTACTCCAGCTTTACACAGAGTTTTCCTCAGTAGACTATCTGCTTGATTTTGACTGACTAATTCTTCTCTTTTGATTAAGATCAGGTCAAAGTCCATTGATCTCATCACTCTTTCCTTCCCCCTTTGAAAGAAGAGATTGCCTGCAAAGTGCATCCATGCTTTGCAGAATGTATCTGCCATCAGCAATAACAATATCTGAAATCTGAGGTTGCCTGTTACCATCAATTTTTACTTATCTGAAACTTCTGAAGCTTGCTTCAGGCATCGTTCAGATCCCCCCACCTTTTAAGATGGTAGGCTATAGTCAATTTCAACTGTAAAGTTGTTTTTATATCCTTCCCCATTTATTTTTAACCAAATGCTCTCTGAGTTTTTTTGTTCATTTTCTTGAATTTCTTTGTATACCATTTTAAAGTCAGATAATGCCCCTCAATTTCTTTTTCTCTTGCATTTATTCTCTTTGAACTTGCTACATCCTTTCAGGACTGCACTCCACCAAACCTCAGTTACATCTATCAAATCACATTTACTTTCCTTTAATACGAGTTCAACCTAAGTTTGCTTATTTTCTATATCTACACATTTTCAACTTCAAAAGTCTTGGATATTCTTTTCTGACACCTCACCTGCTGTTTTGTGGGAGGCAGGTTGCGAAGATTTCTGACAACTCCACCAGATTTTTTTCTGTAATATCCAAGTTAGTGTCAAGCGCCCGGGAAATCTGGAGATTCAAGCAGTTCAAATAAGTATAATGATTTACTGAAAGCTTATGCATTTGGCCAACTGGCCATTAAAGGAAATGCATGGGAAATAAGAGTAACAGTAACAGAGTTGGAAGGGACCTTGGAAGTCATCTAGTCCAACCCCCTGCTTACGCAGGAGACTTGTACTAGGGATTCGAACTGCCGAACTGCCGACCTTTCTGATCAACAAGCTCAGTGTCTTAGTCACTGAGCCACTTAGTCAGGCCCTATGAGCCACCTAAGAGAGGCATTCAAGTTGGGCTGGACTTATATCTCTTGTGGGCATGCAGGTACTTGTTGGAAGAAATATCCATCCGGTTCAGTTCCAAACTGAGAGAATGGCACTGGAGACAAAATGGAGGCTGGAGACTAATTGGAAAGAGGGTTTAATGATGAAGTAGAACCACATGGGTGGTTCTGGGCAGCCGGCCACCTGAAGTTGAGAGTGAAGGGTTTTATTTATTTATTTATTTATTTGAATTTATATACCCGCCCTTCTCCCGAAGGACTCAGGGGGGTGTACAGCCAGAATAAGAACACACAAATAGAAAAATTAATAACAATTTAAAATATATATTAAAGAATATGGCCCGTAACTAATTAAAAACCCATTTTTAAACCTCAAGAGTTAAAAATTAAAAATTAAAGATTAAAAGTTGAAAAGAATTGGAATTAGGCCAGCCCAGCTTGTTGGAACAACAGAGTCTTGAGGGCATGGTGGAAGGTGCGTAGGTCCGGGATCCTCCGAATCTCCGGGGGCAATTTGTTCCAGAGGGCAGGTGCCCCCACAGAGAAGCATTTTATACATTCTCTTGGGCTTTGTATGTGAGCTTCCTGTTATGTACAAGAACATGTATTTTATTGGCTGTTGTCAGACTCCCATGGGGCCATGTAGGGGTTACATAGGGGTCACAGCTGGCTCTATAGGCAAAGTACAAATCCTAGGTGTTTGTCTGAGCTAAGTTTGATTGAAGTTTCTGAGGGTGATGCAATGTCCTTAGGAAATCATGCAATGTAGTGAGCTCTGTATCTTCTGCTAAATGGTAGTGGGTTAATCCTATTATGTCTTGAAGGGTCATGTCTTAATCCCATCACCCTGAAGCTGAAGGTTTTTTGTTTTGTAGATAGGATGGCCCAGTCTTTCTTAATGAGCACAAAATATCTGCTGGGGGCAGGGAGCTGGGACTCTGAGTTTCTGTCTCCTTTAAGATTTTTTATTTCTCTTTTAGGGAAAATATTTTATCCTGCCTTTTTAAATATATTTCAAAATATTTCATTCTTCTGGGGGGGGGGTGTTGGCTTCCCACAGACTCATGGCTTATGACGTGTTTGACCATTCTCTTGGGTTCAGCCTGGTCATCTCCTGCAGTTAGCAGTTACCTCTCTGGTCTCTATTTCTATTCTTTAAACATCCTTGTAGCCCTGAAGCCCCAAAGATTATACTACTGAATTACAGATTGATCTTTTTCTTTCTGAAAATTAGCAGTAAAATATATCCATTAGGCATCCAATTGGGTTAACTCTCCTTTTAAAAAATCTCCTACAGAATTTGTGGGAGAAAACTACAGAATTTGTGTGTGTGTGCGGGGGGGGGGGGACCCACACAAGCCTAGCAAAATTTCAGTTTTGAATTAAAGACTAGATCAGCATGATGTTCATCTGAATACAGCCAAAAATATGATACTTTAGAGATATTAAGTCTTGAATAGGTGCCCTTTTTTGTGGTTTGTTTCTATTGGGACAATGATGTCCTTGGGTATATAAAAATGTTCAACCCAAGAATTCCCCTTTTGTTATTTGTTTGTTAGATTTATGTCCCATTTTTTTTATTGATGTGCTCTAAGTGACATACATAATACTTTCTCCTCACATTTTTGCTCCACAACAACTTAATCGCCATCTACCCCATGCAATTCTTTCTTACCCCACATGAGTTGACAATGTCAGCATACATTTGATTCCTTTGATTAAGAGGGAGATCCAGGCAGCAGATCTTCTCTGTCACCAGAGTGGGGAGGCAAGGAATGTTGTGGGTCCCATCCATGGGTGAAATGTTCCCGGTTCGGACTGGATCGGGCAATCCGGTAATGATTGTGGCAGGTGGTTCGGAGAACCAGTAGCGATGGTGGAATGAGGCTCCGCCCACCTGCCCGGGTGTCATTACTTCCTGGTTTTAACCAGGCAGTAATGTGTTTTTTACCCTCTGCACATGTGCAGAAGGTTTTGCGTATGCACAGAGGGTCTGCACGCACATGTGATGCATGTGGTGCGTGCACTTCCAAACCGATAAGGAAGGTAAGTAGATTTCACCCCTGGTCCCATCCCTTAGGGAGATACACCTGGTGGGACCCAGAAAAGGGGCCTTTTCTGTGGTTGCTCCAGAGGTGAAATCTAAAAATGTTCGCTACTGATTCTGTGGGTGTGGCTTAATTAGTGGGTAGGGCTTAGTGGTCAGGTGACTCGGTGGGTGTGGCTTGTTGGTCAGGTGGGTGTGGCCAAGTTGACGTCACTTCTTTGCCCTTTTTTAACCTACAAAACACAACACAACACAACTGGCTCATCCACAATGTAAAAGCAGCTGTGCTAGACCCAAAATGGCCCCTGCAACAAGCAGGAACCTCACACAGCCACAAAAAGCCCAAAAAACCAACTTTCACACTTCACACACACAAAATTCCACATACAGCTTTGTGAGATTTTGTGTGTTTGTGTAGTTAGAGTGAAACACTACCGAAACACATAAAATCTCAGAAAGCTGCACAAATATTATTTTATTTTAATTTATTTTTATTTTTATATAAAAGCAGCTAAATTTAAAACTTCCTAAACTTTCAATGGCTAGGTCTAAAAAAAGAACATCTAAAAAAAAAATCCAATTAACTATTTTTTTTAAAGCTCCCAAAGGGGAAAAAAACTTACAGGCAGGCAGGTAGGCAGGCAGAAAGAGCTACTCACTGATGAGCTTGATTGCAGGCAGGGAGATTCAGTTGGATTGCAGGGATTACAGCAAGCGAAGCAAGGCAGGCGTGCGAAAGTAAGCAAGCTGGAGGCTGGGGGGGGGAAGGGATTTTTCTACCGGTTCTCCGAACTGCCCGCCGCCATTGCTACCTACTCACCCGAGCCGGTCCGAACCGGGAGCATTTCACCCCTGGGTTGCTCCCTCCATCTGCGGCATCATTCCCCCAGATATTAGAATGGCCCCCACTCTAATACTCTTCTAGAAGGCGCTGAAGACCTGGTTCCGTAAACGGGCCTGGGGAACGCAGAGCGAGATGGAGCCCATTAAATGGCTCATGTGATGTCTTGCCACTGGGGTGGGCGGGTGGGGTTATTTTATTATATGATTCTCTCTTCTATTTGTTTTATTGTTTTTATATGAGGTTTTTATATTCTTGTAAGCCGCCTTGAGTTGCCATGTGCGAATCGGCGGCAATATAAATTTCATAAATAAATAAATAAATAAATAAATAAATAAATAAATAAATAAATAATATCTAGAACAACCCCTCTCCCCAGAGTTCTACAGTCCCCTATTTGGTGCAATTTAAATGAGCCCTTACGATCTAGTTCTATTCTCAGGTCTTAGGTTTGAGCAAATGATGTGGTTCTAGTTTTTAAATGATTGTCGTTCCCCCCCACCCCCGACATTTGATGATTTTTTTTATGGGATGTTGTTCATTGCATTTTGTAAGCTGTTCAGTGTTGTGACAGTTTGGAGGCTTTCAGGGAGGATTCATGGCCCTGAAAAAGTGGGGATGGCATTACAGCGAAAATTGGCAGCAGAAAGAAAAGGGAAAGATTGTGAGATCACCCACTTGCCTTCTGGACAGATGCTCTTCAAAAGTAGACTGCAGGAAATGAGGTTTTTATATACAGCTTATGAGTTGAGCAGCTGGAGTCAAAAGATTTTATAAAAAATTAAACTAGGAAAGATGCCTGGACTAGATAATCTTATAATAAATGTTTTGAGGATGAACTCTTACACTCTTTACAAAACACAATGGACCCTGACCTACAGAGGGTTGGAAAGAGGCCAATATAGTACTAATACAGAATGGGACATATTTGACTTTAACAATAAACTAAAACTGTGAGAGATGATGTTTACAAGGGAGAGCTGGGGTGCTGGGTTATAGTGAAATGGCAGTTTCCCCAGAAGGGGAGAGAGATAAGAGGCAGCACAGTCCAGAGCTGGATAGGAGGCAGAAGAAGAGAGTAAAAATAGCCACTCCCTAGAATCTCCCAGGGTATTTCCATAGGTTGGGAGTAGTAAGGGTTTAGACTGGTAAGACTATGTCTGCTATGTGTAAGTAAAATAAAGAAACGAAATGAATTGTTCTACATTGTTCTTGGGCTTTGCCTGACAATTGGCCAATATTATTATTAAATAAAAAGAGACGCAGTGGTTCAGTGGCTAAGAAGCTGAGCTTGTCAATTGAAAGGCCAGCAGTTCAGCGGTTCGAATCCCTAGTGCTGTGTAACGGGGTGAGCTCCCGTTACTTGTCCCAGCTTCTGCCAACCTAGCAGTTCGAAAGCACGTAAAAAATGCAAGTAGAAAAATAGAGACCACCTTTGGTGGGAAGGTAACAGCATTCCGTGCACCTTCGGCATTGAGTCATGCCGGTCACATGACCACAGAGACGTCTTTGAGGCTTTGAAATGGAGATGAGCACTGCCCCTACAGCCAGAAACGACTACCACACAAGTGCAGGGGAACCTTTACCTTTTTTTATTATTATTTTATTATTAAATAATGATTACAAGTTGTCCACAGTGATTCTAACTGATAGACCAAAAATAATTTTGCAAGGTGTTATTCCTGAGGATCAGTGTGTTTCCCCCCCAAAATAATAATAATAATAATTTTATTTCTATACCGCCCTTCTCCCGAAGGACTCAGGGCGATGTACAGCCAGTTTAAAACCACAAGACACAACAATAATTAAAAATTAAAATAATTAAATAGATTTGGCTGATTTAAAACTCTAAAAATTAAAATACCCCAATTTAAAATTATTATATTGACAGCCCTGCCTGGCGGAACAACAAGGTCTTCAATGCGCAGTGGAACACCCGGAGGTCGGAGATCTTGCGTATTTCCGATAGTTAAAGGACAATGTTAGAAATGTGTTGCACATTTTTATAATATTTGGAGCAATATAATGAAAAACAAGCCACATTGATTTTCTTAGAGGGGAAAAAGGCAAAGAAGGCCTTTGACAATTTGAACCAGGCTTTTTTGGAGAGAACTTTATAAAATGGCTAAAATCGATTTACATTTCACAGAAGGCACAAATAATTATTAATGGCGATCTAACAAAACTAATTGAGATACAAAGAGGAACAAGAGAGGAATATCCATAGTGTGCTCTCCTATTTACCGGTATTTGTGTTCTTGAAATACTGAATAAAGACATACAGTAACATAAAAGAAGAGGATTGTGTAAATAAGAATTTAAAAAGAAACTCGTAAGTTAAGGGCTTTGAAGGATGATGGTGTTGGTTCTGGAAGATCCTTTAAAAGGAATTGAAATATTAATGGACAAATTAAAAGAATTTGGTGCATTAGCACCTTTCAAGAATAATAAAAGAAAAGACAAAAATGTTCATAAAATATGCAAATAGAAGATCAAACAGAATTGATTAATAAAATTCATTTATTTATTTGAAAGGAGGTCTGAGAAGACATCTGCACACCCTTCACATCCTGGGCATGAACTGTTTCAATTCTTTCCCTCAGGATAGTGCTGTAGGGCCAAAAAACATAATTTTTCCCCTTTTGCCATCACTCTGCTAAACCTTTAATTCTCTCAGTGCTGCTTAATGTCTTTTAACCCATGCAGTGTGGCTGTAGTATTATCATTTATCCTTCTCATTATTTTCTTTACTCCACCTTTTATCAGCATTATTATTATTCTATTGCTTGCATGTATGCCAAGTGCTTTTGTACCAGAGACAAATTCCTTGTGTCACAATTGGCCAAATTATTCTATTCTATTCTATTCTATTCTATTCTATTCTATTCTATTCTATTCATTTTAAGATTGAGAAGAAGGTAAAATATATGTGTCTCATTATAGAGCCTTGGTAGTACAGGGGTTTAAGGCACCCTGTTATTAAGCTTATTAAGACCAGCTGCCTGCAATTACTGCAGGGTTCGAATCTCGCCAAGGCTCAAGGTTGACTCAGCCTTCCATCCTTTCTAAGGTAGGTAAATTGAGGACCCAATTGTGGGGGCAATAAGCTGACTTTGTATAAATATACAAAAGGATGAAGGCTATTGCTGAGCACATTGTAAGCCGCCCTGAGTCTTCGGAGAAGGGCGGCATATAAATCAAATTTAAAAAAATAACAAAAAAATAACAAATATTTAATTTAATTTAATTTCCAATTTATATACCGCCCTTCTCCCTGAGGACTCAGGGCGGTGTACAGCCAAGATAAAAAACATAGAATACAAATATTAAAACATTTAAAAATATATATAAATTTGGCCCGAAAGTTAAGAATCACAGACTAATTAAAAGAATTTAAAAATTTCTTCTTAAGCCAACCCGGCTTGCTGAAAAAGATGGGTTTTCAGGGAACGGCGGAAGGCATTGAGGTCCTGGATTCTTCTTATCTCCGGAGGCAACTGATTCCAGAGGGTGGGAGCCCCCACAGAGAAGGCCCTCCCCCTGGGGGCCACCAGCCTACATTGTTTGGCTGATGGCACCCTGAGGAGGCCCTCTCTGTGGGAGCGCACGGGTCGATGGGAGGTCGTCGGTAGCAGCAGGCGGTCTCGGAGATAGCTAGGCCCTATGCCATGGAGCGCTTTAAAGGTGATAACCAACACCTTGAAGCGCACCCGGAAGACCACCGGGAATAAAATGAATGTTTTGCTGTATGATGTAATGTTTCAGACAATAACTGTTTTGACAACGAATGCCCTATTGAACAGTGGCAAGATGTATCTAAATTATATGTGTATGTATATGTGTGTTTGTGTGTGTATACATTATATTACATTACTATATATAGCCATGATGGCGAACCTATGGCATGCGTGCAGGAAGTGGCATGCAGAGCCATCTCTCCGGGCAAGCCAGCCATCGCCCATTGCTCTTCCAGGTTCCAGCGCACACATGTGCGCCGGCCAGCTGGTCTTCCCAGGTGCAGGAGTGCCAGAAACTGAAAAAGCAGTTCTCTGGAGTGCATGCGCATGCATGCATGCTGGCCAGCTGGTCTTTGCTCATGCATACGCGCAAGAAACCGGAAGACCAGGTGACCGGCGTGCATGTGCACGCTGGAAACCAGAAGCTCAGCTCTTCCAGTTTCCAGTGCTCCCCTGTGCACACGTGCATGCTCCCAGTTCAGCACTTGGTGCCAAAAAGGTTCGCCAATCTTCCAATATATAGGAAGAGTTTGAGATAGTCTGTAAATTTAATAAAGAAATAAAAATAAACCTTGTAAGGCAGGTTGATGTGAGTGACCAAAGCCACCTATGGAATCTGTGAGGCTGATCTTAGACCTGGGTCTCCCTTGGGGCCAGTCTAACTTTCACCCTTACACTAGTGGTGGGTTGCCCCCGGTTCGCACCGGTTCTATAGAACCACTAGTAAAACCGGTGGGAGGCTCCGCCCACCGACCCCGACGTCATCAAAATCCTTCTGCTCATGCGCAGAAGCTTCTGTGCTTGTGCAGAAGAGTGTGCACGCGAGTGAACCGGTAGTAAAGGTAAATAGAACCCACCCCTGCCTTACACCATACTGGCTAGACAGAAAGGATTATTTTTGGAGTTCAACTAATAGTATTTCAATCCAGATCAATTAGATTTACATTGGAATTCTACTGATAGCAAATGACTTAATTTTAGGGAAACTAGCTAAGGCAGCTTTACCCCAGCTGGTTCCCTTTAGATGTATTAGGAAAGGACAAATAGTAAGTAGATAAATATTTTGTTGGTTATCTCTATCAGAATATATAGTATTGTTTCAGCCTCGGAGGCTTTTCTCTTTTATTTAAAACTTGATCAGTGGATCTTCCATCCTGATA